CCCTCCCATCCTAGCCTTGGGAAAAATCAAGGCAGTAGGGAGCTGCAATGACTGCATGAGCTGAAGGATGCTCTGCTGGGCATAGCAGAGGTGGCTAACAGATCCAGGGACAGCTCTCACCAGAGGCTCTAGCAGGGGTCTTCAAACTACGGCCCGCGGGCCACATGCAAATACAAATGTTGTATTTGTCCCCGTTTTGTTTTTCACTTCAAAATAAGTTATGTGCAGTGTGCATAGGAATTTGTTCATAGTTTTTTTTTTAACTATAGTCTGGCCCTCCCTCAAACAGTCTGAGGGACAGTGAACTGGCCCTCCGTTTAAAAAGTTTGAGGACCCCTGTCATAGGGCCTCAATGAATGATCTTTTTAAAAATTGTGTGTTTTTTTAAGAGATGGAAACATCGATTGGTTGCCTCCTATACACCCCCAACTGGGGATCTAGCCCAAAACCCAGACACGTGCCCTGAGCAGGAATTGAACCGGTGACCTCTTGGTGCATGAGAAGGCTCAATCCACTAAGCCACACTAGCCAGGCTGGACTGATTTTGAAGAGGTCTGAGAAAGATTATTTTTCCCCTTTGAACCTCATGGTCCAAAAGCCTCTGAGGAACGAGGGTATGGTATTGGGCTGCCAGAAAGGTCCCTGATGCAGCATGCAGAATCGTACTCAGCACAAACTGACATCTGGACAAATTCTAAATGTGATTTTTAAAGCAAAGCGCTGGGACACAAAAAGTAGGTCTGAATGGCTTGTCATTGATAAAATAGAGTAATTTTATTCTATAAACGTAGTTTAGTCATTTCCATGTATGTTAAGACTCGAGTCAGGGGCCAAGACCTCATCCTGGCTATTGGTGCTTTATTCTTAAGCAGGTTAATTTACCTTTCTGGGCTTCACTCACTTAAGTCCTACTTCTCTGTGAAAAGGATTTGAGGTAGAAATTTTGGGCCTCCCAAATGAAACTATATCCTTTGGCTCTGAGTGGGAAGAGAGCGATGGAGGTCACTAGTTCAGTAGTCTCTGGCTGCACCCGGAGGTTAGAAATACCCCTGCCTGGGTCCGTCCCAGAAAATTCTGATTTAATTGGTGTAACAGGGCCCTCATAGGGGTAATTCTAATGTGCCAGCTTCAGATCTAGTCTAACCCCTATCTTCTGAGGAGAGAGGGATGGAGAGAATATGTGAGGCAGAATGCCTCGCATGCTGCAGAAGAGAAAGTGGAAGGCCAGAGAATGAAGGCCGGTGGTGACACCAGGCCTCCTGCCGTCCAATAGCTGTGCTGTATCTGGCTCTCCATCAACTTTCTTCTGACTTCAAGCATGTCATCGAGAAGATGAACCAGTCCTGGCCATACGACTCAGTTGGTTGGAGCGTTGTTTTGTGCACCAAATGTTTGCGGGTTTGATTCCCAGTCAGAGCACATACCCAGGTTTCGGGTTTAATTGTCAGTCCGGGAGTAAATGAGAGGCAACTGATTGATGTTCCTCCCTCACATCAATGTTTTTCTCTCTCTCTCTCTCTCTCTCTCCCTCTCCCTTCCTCTTTCTCTAAAATCAACAGAAAAGCATGTCCTTTGGTGAGGATTGAAAAAGAAAAAAACAAAGAAGGGGAGTCAAATCATCTATAGGCACAGCTTCCAGGCAGGGGCCCTTATAATTTTTTTAATATATTTTATTGATTTTTTACAGAGAGGAAGGGAGAGGGATAGAGAGTTAGAAACATCGATGAGAGAGAAATATCGATCAGCTGCCTCCTGCACACTTCCCACTGGGGATGTGCTCGCAACCAAGGTACATGCCCTTGGCCAGAATCAAACCCGGGACCCTTCAGTCCACAGGCTGATGCTCTATCCACTGAGCCAAACCAGCCAGGGCAAGGGGCCCTTATAATTTACAGGTATGACAATCAGAGAGCTCACCTCTCTGGCTTTTTATTTCTAAGACAGTTAAATACGTTGCTTACATTTTGCATTATTCCCCAGTCTTTCACAGACAAAAATCAATGTATGTGTCAAGTAAAAGGAGATGGGAGCAGGTTGTTTCAAAATGTTCTGAGCCTGGTGTTTACATCTTTTTATTAATTTATCTTTATTGTTGAAAGTATTACATATGTCCCTGGGTATTGACATCTTAAGACCCCCTCTGTTCACCAACATTTCCTTACCTCGTCTTCAAACTCCTCATCCACAGCAAACAGCTTCTGCAGACCGCATGCCTGAAGGGAAAACATAGCAATTGAGGTTGGAGGAGAAATGCCATTTGCAAGTACATTCTGTCCTCACTCTGCTCCTTCCCAACTCTAACAAGACCATCAGGTGTCCTGTTTTCGGTCTGTTTGTTTTGCTAGTGTTGGGGGAGGAATAAGGGATGAGAAGAGATGGGATTTACGTAGAGACTTAGATGATTTCAAATCCTTTCTCCATAAAACAACCCCCTCGGGTCTGTCTGCGTTAATCTTGGAAGGGGAAGAGGCAAAGGAAAGGCTGCCAAAGGAAGCACGGGTCATGCTTTAGACTCAGCACCGCACACATGAGCGTGAGGATTTTGCAACATCCCAAAGGTCTGGCCTGAGCAACCTTTGTCACACATAAGACACAACCGTAAGTCCACACATGCCTAGCAGAGGGGCCTTTTTGTCTGAAAGCCAAGCCAGGGGTTTCCTTCTATCTGATCCCATGTCCAAAGGCCAGGGTCCCAGGAAGGTGGGATGCCCCAGGTCACAGTTCCTGCTTTTTAGGCAGCAGGGCTGCAGCGGCCAGCTCTGCGATGTGTGTCCAACTCAGAGCCAAGGGCTGTGCCTGCCCCCAAGGGTCCAAGGATCAGAGGGGACGGGTAAGGGTTAGAGGGTCAGGCTCAGGAGGCGCGACATTTGAGCGCATCGGGGAGGAGGAGCAGGAGTGCGCCAGGAAGAGCTGGAAGGCCACGGGAGGGAAACTGAGGCCCAGAGGGCGGTGGGTGCAGAGAGAGCCTTCCCAGGGTCTCCGGGCGCATCCATGCCAAACCCAGGCTTCCCGACCTCACCTAGTTCTCACCCAAACCCTAAACCGGCCCTGCAGCTCGCCCAGTGGAGGGGCTGGAGCCTGAAGGACAGCTGTTGGGCCCCGGACCCAGAGTCCCAAGGCACGGCATTACCATGGCGACGGCGGGTGCGCTTCCGCCAAAGCGTTAGCGACAGGCCCCAATTCAGTGGTCGCCGGGGCCTCGGGCGTGGCCCGGGGCGGGAAGGTCGGAGTCCGGGTGACAGTATCTCTGGGGCGAGATCGGAGACGTCCCTGCGACCAGGGCCGGTACCAAGACTGGGTCGCCGGGAAGGTGAGGGCCCGAGCCCTAGGTCGCATTCGAAGCCGCCGCCACTCCAGCGTCTCCGCCCTCTTAAAGGGGCGGGCCTATTTTATCCCGCCGACACAAAGGCGCTACATCCGCCAGTCTTCCGCCCCGGCCTTAAAGGGAAACGGGTGGGCTCTCGGTCGCCCTCCAGCGGCCACTCGGGCTGGGTCGGCTGGTTCAATAAGCGTTCTGAGGACAGCAAGGTTGGCAATTGGGGCGCATTACGCCCAATCCTGCCCATCCTCCTCTATTGTGTTAAGCACACTAGGGAGTGGGTACTTGAGCATGACTCATTCGCACCAGAAGCCACCCCGTTGGTTTGTCTGTTCATCTTTCCATCCATCTATCTATCTTGGCAACACATTTATTAAGTAAAGATGTTCATCTTTCCATCCATCTATCTATCTTGGCAACACATTTATTAAGTAAAGATGTTCTTGGTCTGGCTCTTTTCATCCTTGGGTGTTTCAGCTGAGATCTCAGATCTTCCCTGGCATCTATTCTCTCCTGTAGCATCCCTCTCCCCCCGCCCCCCCATCACTATTTTCTTCTCAGCACTTTTCATAATTTATAATTATCATGGTTTACATCTCTATTATGTGTATTTCTCACTAGAATATGAGGTCCCTGAAGGCAGGGATCTTGTTGGGCTTGTTCAAGTTTGTGTCCCCAGCACTGAGCACAATACACAATAGAGTTATTGACTGACACAATAGCTACTATGTATTGAGCACCATGCTTGGTCCTGGGGATAGAGAAAAGAATGACTGCTTGTGCCCTCAAGTTCACACACAAGTCAGGGCGACACAGATCCAAAAGAGACCAGGAGATTTGGGCGGAGAGATGGACAGGGGCCTAGGGAGCTGGGAAGGCCAGCGTCTGTCACTAAAGCCTGCTGTGGTTAACGACCCTGACTCCGACCTCAGTTTCTCCTATGCTTGTCATCACAGGGCTAGTCAGAATGACAGCTAGGGCTGCACAGTTTTGAGGATTCAAAAGGCAGGAGGAAGGGCTCTGACTTGAGTTCTTAACCATCTGATCTGAACCAGTCCTGAATCTTTCCTAGGGTTGTCTGGCCTGGCCTCCCCTCCGACAGCCTATGGCTTCTATCATAGCTTCATGTGGACCCATTTCCTTGTCATGTGTCAGAATGGAGGCCAGGATGGCATTGGGAAAGGGCACCTGGACTCCTAACTTTCATCCAAGATAGCAATCTTCTCAAGGCCTCTGTGCTTCTGAACTGGGGGACAAAATCCCAACCCTCCCATGTACAGGCCTCCTCTCCGCACAGGAATCCCAGGTACAACTCACCCTGCACCACTGTGGACAGTCCCCGAGACCCAGTTCTAGGGCTCCCGGTGACTCTGACCCTAGCCAGCTCAGGTCCACAGGAGATCACAGAGCCCCAGAGGCCAAGAGGAAGGGTGGAAACTCCTATCCACGGCATAGTCTGCAGCTCCCAGTTTTAACCAATAGCTCAGTGTGTGGTCACAGACATCCTGTACAGAGTGAGGGGCAGGTATCACCTTAAAGATTAGGAAACTGAGGCCCAGGGTGGGGAGGGATTCTCTCAGGATCACACAGCCACTCAGTGGTATATCTTCTGGTTGGAAATTCTATGCTTTTTCCTCCATCACCTTTCTCAGTGAAATACATTTAGCATCTGTTGCCCCCACTTCCTGTTAGAAGGAAGGGGAGGAGGATGGGGGTAGTGGCTGGAGCAAATGGAAAATGTGGACCTAGGACATTTTGGGGAGGACCTGACAGGACACAATATGGAGGTTGCCTGGGATTTAAAAATTGGTCGGATAGCTCAGTTGGTTAGAGCTTTGTCCTAATACCAAGGTTTCAGGTTCAGTCCCCAGTCAGGGCACATACAAGGGGCAACAAATATGAATGCATAAATAAGAGGAACAACAAATGATGTTTCTCTCTCTCTCTCTCTCTCTCTCTCTCTCTCTCTCTTCCTCTCCCTTCCTCTCTCAGAAATCAGTTAACAAAAACATATAAAAATATTTTTTAAAAATTCTTCAGCTCTAGCCGGTTTGGCTCAGTGGATAGAGTGTTGGCCCACAGACTGAAGGGTCTCAGATTCGATTCCGGTCAAGGGCACGTACCTCAGTTGCAGGCTCGATTCCTGCCCCAGTGGGGGCATGTATGGGAGGCAGCCACTCGCTGTGTCTCTCACATTGCTGTTTCTGTGTGCCTCTCCCCGTCCCTTCCACTCTCTCTAAAAATCAATGGGAAAATATCCTCAAGTGAAGATCAACAAAAAATAAAAAGTCTTCAATCCCTCCCTGTCACCAGAGGTGACATATAAGATCCCCAGGGTCTACAATGCCCTGGCCTCTGCTTCACTGCCTTATCTTGCCTTCAACCAACCTCCCAGTCACTATCAACCCCTCTTCACCCCACTTAGTTTTCATGCCCTAGGTCCCAGGCTGCCTCCTTAACTGCCCTGGGCAGACCCAGGTTTCCCTGCTCCTTGGTTCCCTGCGCTTGGGGCCTGGCTCCAGGTTGGCTTGGTTTCTTGTATGCCCTGTGTTTTCTTCAGATTTTTTTTTTTTATTGAGTTTTTACAGAGAGGAAGGGAGGGAGATAGAGAGTTAGAAACATCGATGAGAGAGAAACATCGATCAGCTGCCTCCTGCACACCCCCCACTGAGGATGTGCCCGCAACCCAGGCACATGCCCTTGTCCGGAATCGAACCCGGGACCCTTCAGTCCGCAGGCCGACGCTCTATCCACTGAGCCACACCGGTTTTGGCTTCTTCAGATTTCTTCACACCTCCTTGCTGGACTTCGAATCCCTACAGGGCCACCATGATGGCTTTTTATTTTGTGAACCACACTTGGCACAGGACCTGGCACATGCAAGACACTCAACAAGCATCTGTTGAATGACTTAATGCCCTTTGTCAGGAGCGAGTGCGAATGAGCCTGGGCAACTCCATACTCACGTACACAAATGCCTGCAGTTGCTGGGTAAGGAGCTTCACCTTCTTAGGCACAGAGGAGAGCAGGCCTGGTGTGTGTGTGTGTGTGTGTGTGTGTGTGTGTGTGTGTGTGTGCAGCTTCTTTCATTGGCTTTGGAGCTAGACAAACCTTGGCTCATATTTGACCCTGTTGCTAACTGGCTGTGTAACTTTGAGTAAGTTACTTTATGCCTCTGAGCCTTAGTTGTCTCCTCTGTGAAAATGGAATAACACCTCTTCCTCACAGGATTGTGCGATTAAATAAATTAAGGCACTGAAGTGGCCAACTCCATGGCACGTTGGCAAGGGCTCAACAATGTGGGCTCCTTCCCCCAACTTGAGTTTGCAAACGTGTGCTGGGATTTGTTATGGGGACCACATGCCTCGAGTTTGTACCTATTGCAGCATACTCGCCAATGCATTTTGTCCTAATTTGTGTTTTTATCCTGTGTACAGTTGTATGCCGGTCAGTGTGCTGATGGATGTCTTCATGTGTTTCTATTGACGTTCACCTTGGTATGGGAAGTGGCAGACACTGGCATGAGTCCAAGAGTCTTGCATGGTTGTGTTGGTGGGTGGTGCATGTTGAGTGAGTGTGTAAAATGTGTGTGGAATAAGATGTGTGTTGTGTGCTGCCTACGAGGGTGGGGATCTGAGTGTATGGAGGTGGGGAAGGGCTGGTGGCTTTGTGTGTATGAAGGCTGCGTAGACCGGTGCGGTGGGGTAAAATTCTCTGTGTTTATGGAAATATTTTCTGTTTGCACTGTTCGAGCAGCCACGAGCCACATGGAACTATTGATCACTGGAAACGTGGCTAGAGCAACTGAAGAACAAAGTTTTAATTGTGTTTAATTTTAATTAAGTTGAATGGAAATCGTCACAGGTAGGCTCTAGACAGAAACCTCAAACTTGTTCTCCACAGGCTAGTGGTGTGCATTCTCGTTCCTCTTAACAGGGAAACCCACCTGACGTGCCCTGACCCCAGCAGGTCAATGGACCCGCTGGAGCCCC